GTTCTTACTACTTTTTTTGAAGAAAATAAAACCAAATGTGACATAACAAAACAGAGTCAGTCAAATCAAAAGGATGGACATAGTACATAATGTAAAAACAATACAAGGTGATCAACAATGGTTACCATAATGCCTCTTGCTATTTTAAAAAGAACTCCCTATATCATCAGTTATAATAAAATTGAACAAAATAGTAAAGAACAAAACCAATAAAACCAAAATATTGGAGACATTACAGAACTTCAAAAGATTATAGTCAAACCAGAATGGGCATCATAGTGAATCTTATTGTCTTCACAGTTGTTGCCTATATTCTCAAACTTGGTACTATCAAGCAAGACAGAATAGAGTAAAATCAGTCAAAACAAGATGGTTAGAACAATACAGGGTTTCAAATCAAGTTAATAGGAAATCAAAGTGGGTTACTATAATATATCCTGCTATTTTTATTTATTTTTCCCTAATTAAAAAGATAAAAATTTAAAAATGAATAATAAATAAGGAGCTTGAGATAAAAGAGGACATAACAATGAGACATCACAGGTCAGAACACAATAATTTAAGCAAAATAGTGTTTCACCACTAGATATCCCAACGTAAAAGTAGTTACCATAGTGTCTCTTTCCTTGAAATCTTTGAGTATAACTTCATATACTGTAGCATCAAACATGTCAAGACAATGTAAAATCATTCAAGAGAATGACAGTAATACAGGGTATTTAGAACCAACTAACAGAAAATGAACAATGGTTTCTATATTATCTCCTTGTCTATAAAAGCTTTTGTTTATATTATCACATATAATAAAACCCAATAAGATACAACATGTTAAGACTGATGGACACAGAAGAACAAAAGCTTGATGGGGCTTCAAAACAAGATGATATTAAATCTGCACTAGCTATTATGATGTCTTGTTTTCTCCAAAATAGCTGTTCCTACCATCTAATCTTCTCTGCCTCATTTCTGTTGAGCTCTTTTTCTGTCATTGTCACTTTGTCTTCTTCATTTTGCTTTCTGCTCCATTTATTGTGGCCTCTCTGCCAGTATTTCTGGAATCTTGGTATTTTCCTATTATAGAATATCCTGCAGTATTCTCTGTAGAGTTGAACTGGTGGTTGCAAATTCCCCTAGTTTCCCTTTATACTGTAAGCACCTTGTTTTTCCCTTAATTTCTATGGACAGTTGTGCAGGACATATCAATCTTGGCTGGAAGTTATTGTCTTTCAAAGCTTGACTTATTTTGCCCCACGCTCTTCATGATTTGATGGTTTGTGCTGAGAAGTCTACTGTAATTCTGATGGGTGTTGCCTTGTAAGTGGTCTGTTTTTTGTCTCTGACAGCTTTTAGTATTCTGTTCTTATATTGGATTTCTGAAATTTTGATTATTATATGCCTGGGTGTAGTTCTGCTTGGGTTGTAGGTGGCTGGGATCCTGTATGCCTCATAGATCTGAGTATCTTTACCTTTTCCCATATTAGGGAAGTTCTCCTTGATTATTTCTGTGAATAGCCTTTGCAGTTCATTTGTTTGTATCCCTGCTTCTTCCTTTATACTCTTAATTCTTAAGTTATAGATCCCCTTATCATCTTCTAGCCTTTGTATTGTTACTGCTTGTTTCCTTGTTATTTTTAAGTTTTTCCTTTCATGCTCCCACATTACAAATATGTCCTCCAGTTCAGATAATCTATCCTTAGTTTCTTTCAAGCTGTTATGCCAGCTTTCAATAGAGCTTTTAGTTTCCTGATAATCTCTTTGAACCTACTTCATATATTGTACGTTTTCTCTATTTTCTCCATCAAACAATTCTCCCCTTTTTTCTGTTCTTCCATTCCACCATCTGTTTTCTCTTGGGAGGTGTTTAGCATTTCTTTAACTATTTTACTTATATCTTGCTTTACTTGGTTAAATACTTCACTTTTGAACTCATCTATGAGGTCCCGGAGATTTCACTTTATGTCTATTGGTGCCGTGCCTGATATTGCATGTTTTCTGTCCTCATTCTTCTGTGCATTTACCTTTCCTGGATCAGTGTTCTCAGGATTGGGAGACTGAGCACCCTTTCTTGTTGCTCCCTCTTCCCATACTTTTTGTTCCTTCCATACAAGCATATATAGGAGGCCCAGTTTCTTTCTTTGTCTGTTACAGATTGTTTGAGTCCACCAGCTAGGTGGTCCCGCCCACTGCAGTGTACTAGGGAGACACAGACCGGGACAGACTATGCTGGGCCCGCCCCTCCCGGTCAGTCAACCTGCTGAAGGCTTCACTGATTAGGATTCACTGCCAGGCACAGGGACCTGGTTTGGGCTAGCCTACTGGGTCTTAGTTCGTGGTGTCACCCAGGTCAAGCGCTCCCCACCAATCCCGCTTGAGAGGGGAATATGTGATTGAAGTTATATATTCTGTTCTGGCTAGTCTACGTAGTCCCAGAATGTCCTCTGTTGGAGCCTCCTAGTCTATGGAAGGGTCCCTGTTCCTCTTACTCACTGCAGGTCAATGCAGGGCTTCCTGCCAGCTCTGCTCTCAATTTGGTTCGCTGATTCCCGCTCAGAGCTTTCCCATCTCTATCCCTGCTGTGCTGATTCAGATGCAGCAGCGGCAGCAGGAAATTAAAGCTGTGATTTCCAGAGGCACAGGTTCCTGTGGTGACACTGACACTTTGGCTGTTCCAGTCATAGCACCAGGATTGCATTTCCAGTTGGTTTCTCTACGCTTAGTTCATTCCTGGGTTGGCAGGGTATATCTCCCCCTGCTTAGGACTCCCCACACTGCACCATTCCTGGAATCTAAGCTGGCTATCTGAGAGAGCCTCTGTAGCTGCTGTTATCTATCCACCATGTTCTCCCGGAAGTCCTCAATGGACTTTTTAATTTCCTAGTAATCTCTTTGAACCTGCTTCATGTATTTTATGTTTTCTTTATATTCTTCATTAAACAATTCTCCCCTTTTTTTGTGTTCCTCCATTCTCCCATCTGTGTCCTCTTCAAGAGGTGCTTAGCATTTCTTTTAGTAATCTATTTATATCATGCTTTACTTGGTTACATATTTCACTTTCGAACTCATCTATGAGGTCCCAAAGATATCTCTTTATGTCCACTGGTCTTGTCTGTGCCTAATATTGCATGTTTGCTGTCCTCAGTTTCCTCTGTATTTACCTTTCCTGGATCAATATTCTCAGGACTGGGGGCTGGGGACTTTTGCTTGTTGCTTCCTCTTCTCATATTTTTTGTTTCTGCCATACAGGTGTATATAGAAGGCCCTAGTTTCTTTCTTTGTTGGTTGTAATTTTTCTTCTGAAGTGCGCTGGCTAGGTGTTCCTACCCACTCCAGTGTGTTATTGAGGTGCAAATAGGGGCAGTGTACGCTGGTCCCTCCCCTCCAGGTCAATCAACCTGCTGAGGCCTTCACTGCTTAGTATACACTGCCAGGCATAGGGAATTGATTTGGGATAACCTATTGGATCTCAGCCTGGTGCATGACTCTGGCCAAGCACACCCCACCAATCCCATCTGGGCAATGAGCAGCTGATTGAAGTCACTGCTGCTCCTTGTTCTTGCCAGTCTGCCCAGTCCCAGAATGTCATCTTTGGAGCCTCTTTTTTTGTGGAATGGTTTTATTTCCGGCACTCACCGCAGGTTGATGCAGGTACCCCATCAGCTCAGCTCTCTGTCAGCTTGTCAACTCCCAACATCAGTGTGACTGCATTCTCAGTGTGTTGAAGCGGCGGGAATTCCGGTGGCTTTGTAAGTTGCTTCCATGTGAGTATAGGTGCTGCAGCAGGGGCACTGAGGCTTTAGCTGTTCCCAATAGTAGCACCAGGACCATATGTTTGATTGGTTCTTCTCATCTTAGTTCCTTTCCGGATAGAGAATATTCATCTCCCTCTGTTCAGGACTCCCTATGCTATATTATTTTCAAAATCTAAGTTGATTATGTCAGGAAGCCTCTGCAGCCTGCTGTTATCTATCTACCATCTTTTTCAATTATATTGTCTTGCCTGCTTTAACTTCTTATAGGTGCCACTGTCACCCAAATGTGTATGACATTTTGTGTACTCTGAACAAATCCACAGATTTTATGTATAAAATGTTTAAAGAAATTCTTGAATGTTTCTTTTAATTTCATGAAACAAACTTATTATACAATTTTAAGTTGATAAAAATTGGTAATAATACTAATTACTATTTATATTTGTACAGTAATTATTCAAATTCATACAACTAATTAGATTTGTTCCACTTATAGAGTTTGCATTAATTTTACTAGTAAAATTACAATAAAAGTGATTAGAGCTGCTTGTAGCACAAGTGGTACAAGCCATGTGATGGGACAGTCATGTTCTGCCAGTGGCTCAAGATGGCAAAAAATGTGTTAAGTAATGAAAATTATGTTCTTGAGGAACTAATAAGAAAGTGTCTACTGTATACTATAAACATCTGCAATGTACTGAAAACTTAGTCTATTGTTTTATGAGCAGGTAAAGGGAAATATACTAAGCATTAAATATTATTTGGTAGAGTAGAAAGCATATTAAATCTACATATTAATATACAGAATAAGTGATAAGAATGCAATCATTAATTTGAGAATGATTATATGTACTTTGAATTTTCTGTTGTTTGTATTTTATTATTTATTTATTCATTTATTTTTGTCTTTTTGCTTTTTGAAATAGAGTTTTATTGTGTAATACAGACTGGCCCTGGACTCACTTTGTAGCCCACAGTGGTCTCAAACTCACAGTAATCCTCCTGCCTCAACCTTTTGAGAGTGTGGTATTACAAGTGTGTGCCACCACACCTGGCTTGAGGTTTTTATTATTTATTTATTTATGCTGCTGGGAATTGAATTTAGGACTGTGTGTTTGTCAGGTAGGCACTGTGCCACTGGGCTATATCCCCAGCTCCTGTTGTTTTTTTTTAAGTAAGCAGAATCATAGAGTTGAAATACCTTAACTCATGGACTGTGTTCTATGGGTCCAAATATAAATCTCTACTTACCAACTACTTTGTCCAAATCTAAGTGAGATATTATGTCCTCAATTGTTGGGTACAATGCTGGAAGGCTTTGTAATGTAACTGGAAGTTTAGAGGCCACTTCATCTTCAGCTATAAAAATAACAGATTGTCTGATGAGTTCATTTAAAGTTACTAAACTTTTGAGGTAAAATACACTGCCTAACACTAATAGATACATTGTATCTTATAATCATTTAACAATATTATTGTCCTTAAATTTTATGTACTAGTTGCTCAACTGAATACAAATGTCAAATAATTCAAAAAGCTTACAAAATATCTATAATACGATGCTATTATATTAACAAGAATTTTCAAGCAGTTGTTGTTTAACACTCAGATAACTGAAATAGGTATTCTAACACCCTCTAACAGATGTGAGAAATAGAGCTTAGAAAGATTATGTTTTAAAAAGTTATATAGTCATTATGTGCAAGAAATAGGAATTAATCAGTTATTTTAGATAAATTCAAGTGTCTACTAGGACTGAGTATGTAATCTGAATGAAATAAATTCTATTATACTTGGGGTTGTGTGAAGACCAGAAGTGAAAAGGTGAGTACTTTTATTTTATTGTACTTAGGTTTAAGTTCTTTGTATTTGACAATATACACGAAGTAGTCAAGCCTTCAAAATAAAAAGTATAATACCATCTTGTGGCATAAAATTGTTGTATATACTTATCCATGTATACAAATTATTATATATATATATATAAATGTTATCCACATTTACTAATTGATACTTAATACAAAAATAATGATACTCAAAGCTAAAAACAACAAACAGTAATCAAAAATCCTCTCATAGCATTGGTAGATTTTATGCTTTATAATTTAATACAAAACTTTTTTTGTGTGTGTAGGGGATCGAACTACAACCTTGCGCTTGTTAGGCAGGCGCTTATGCTTCTGAGCTAAATCTCCGACCCTTTAATACAAAACTCTTAATTTTTAAAACATTTTTAATCAGATTTCACCTTTGCTACCAGAGACTTACTACATTCTCAGACCTTTTCAAATGCTCAGGTCTCAAAGTCATCAAATCCTAAAATCATTTGCTATTTTGTAAATTTTTTCTTTTTTGAAAAGAATGTAAGCTATATCCTTATTGCTTGGATTATGATAATTAAATACAAAAACAATTTATTTAACACCCTGTACATGTTATATATAAAAGCACCTAGAAAACTTAAGAAATAAGATCACAGTGCATTGTACTTTAGAAGATGTATGGCAGTAACATAAGAACATTTCAAATGGAAATTTAAAGATCGTTCTCATCTCTCTTTTTTTAGTTTTTAATTAATTAGTTAGTTAATTTTTATTTTAAAGAGGGTAGGATTAAACATTACAAAACAGAACAAAACAGATCATAAGATTTCAAAGCAAGTCCACTGAAGATCTTATCTTATACGATCAATGTCTATCGTATTGTCTTTAGTTTTCTTCCAAATAGTTGTCTCCATCTTCACACACAGTGAATACATACTGAACACTATAGTACTAATCTAATCAGAATAGGATGATGAAGGCTTTTTAGGTCTTGAAAGACCTGACATTAGGGAAGTCAATAATGGCTGCCATAATGTCCTCATTCTCTTTGAAGTAGCTGTCCATATCTTTACATATGCTAAAATTAAACATAAGAGACTAGAATAATATCACTCTGAACAGTGAATAATAGTATTGCTAGATTTTATAACATAATGCTACAGAATTACCACTGGGTATCTTAGTGTCTCTTCTTCAGAGTATCTGTTCATTACATCATGCATTATGTAATCTGTTCCCATAAACTGTTTAGAAATTCTCCACATGCGTGAATCTCTACATGTTTACCTATCCTTTCTGTATTATAGGGGGAAAACAGATCAAAACAAGAATGAAACTGAAGATAGACTTTCAGATTTTGAAGACAGGATGATGACGAATGACCATGAAAGGAAAAAAATCTCTTAGAATAACAAGGGACCATGAAATAACAATTCCACAGCTCCAAGACAATGCAAAAAAAACAATAAAAGGTAGCTCCATGGGGGAGGTAACTGGCAGTTCAGTAAGGCTGTATAACAGTTTCAGCATACTCCTGAATGCTGACTTTGCTACCGACTGATGCACAGCCTGGTGGACAGATGTGAGTTCAGCCAGGGAAAGGTGTGATAATTACCAAGTGTGGAGACAGGCAGCCACCTCAGAAGCCCCCTCTGACTTTGCTTGACAGTTTGCAAGGAGATGGATTCAGACAGAATCTGGATGGGGAGTTTTCCTAAGTAACTTACCTTGAATCTGTAGGCAGCAAGGGAAAAGAGAAAATCCCCCACTTTTTACAATATATCCCCAGATGCAGCAGCCACTCCCCCAACAGAGTCATTGGGCACCCTCCTTAGGAATCAGCTGGGCCCTAGAGAATGGTGATTGATACAGAAAAACTAAAATCACAGGGAAATGGACCTCTCTACCCCCACCACAGCCACCCTCATGGACCCAGTAGCTGGGTCAAGGGAGACTCAGCTCCCTTGGCTGTGGTGCTTTCCCTGGACCTGGCTCCAGCGCTGTGATACCAGACAGCATAAAACTCAGCAGGCCGAAACGAGTACATTTAACAGGCAAAGGAAAGTCCTTTTATACTCAAGAAGCAAAACACAGCAGCCATTTGAACATTGTGTTAAGATGAGAGTTCATCTGGATGAGGCTGTCAGCTCTGGAATGGGTGCTCCCACCTCAGAGGTCTCCAGAGAACACAGGCAGCACAGACACTAGCCCATGAGCCTCCAAGAGCAAGGTCTAGTGATTGCTTAGACTTTGGACCACAACACGGACCTGCCCATAGTCTACATATTTGAGAAAGTGGACGGACCAAAAATGTCCTGCACCCTCATTCCCTTTTAAGAAAAAAAACAGACATGGAGGGTGATCCAGGGCTGCTGTTGACAGCTTGCCAGCCTCATTTATAACCATGGAGGGTTCAGCCACCTATGGCCCTAAATGGTTTCTCCTGCTTAAGCAGAAGAAGGAGTACCCTGGGCTGTGAAAGGTTTTCACAGCCCTCCCTTGGATCTGGCACTGTCCAACAACAGAGGTCTGGGAAAAGTAACTGTTTTAATCATAAATGCTTCCACAAGGGAGAATCTTGGACCTACGTGTTTGTTCAGTGTGTGTGTGTGTGTGTGTGTGTGTGTGTGTGTGTACATGCGTATGTGTGGGTCTGAAAGTATATTAGTTATTCTTCTTGCTTTTATAGTATCCTACCTTGTTTTGTCACGTCTTCTCACATCAAGAGTTGTTTTTCAGAATGTTCTAATTTGGTGTTTCTGTTAGTTGATTAATTACATTCAATCTTATTTCTTTTCTAACTTTTCATTTCTATGCCTTTCTCTTCTTTTTTTCTCTCATAATCTTCAGGTCTATCCTTCCTTCTCTTTCTTTTCATATATATAAATATCATTAATGCTCATTTTTTATATTTGTTTATTCTCGCCTATTCTATATTACTAATCTGACTTTCCTTTCCTGGGCTAGTGAAATACTAGAAAACTTAAAAATAAGTTAAATTGTATGTATCTATATGGTTGCTTCTACAGATGTTGATGTTTCTGGTTAGTCTCTCTTTACAAATAAGTGCTAAGGATTACAACTAGTACTTTGACAAGAGTTCCATGGGTTCCTTCATACAGAGACATACAGCACTTACTAAACATACTTCACACAATAGTGGCAGAGTTATCCATCTCAAATCATCTATAATCCTCAATGGAAAAACACAAGAATCATGAGAAAACAATACATCAACACACCTCCAAATATTTGTAACTATCTAAACAAGTAACCTCACAGATGCTGAAGCAGACAAAATTCCAGACAAAGAATTTAAAGAACAATTATTTAAAATTGTCAGTGAGATAAAAAAGAAACAAACCAGCAGAATCAATTAATTGCTAAAATGATGACTAATTGTAGCCAAACAAGCAAATGAATGAATTAAGGAAGATGATGCAAGATATTAAACACCAATTCAAAAAGGAAAGGCTCTGACACCTTCAAAACTCCTTCAGAATGCTCTCTAATAAATTCAAGAGTGGCAAGATACAAAAGGAACATATAAAAATCAATTGCTTTTTGATTCACTCCTATGGATTAAGAACTGGTGGTCAATTTAACACCAGCTAGATCACGTTAGCACTGAGCGTAGATGTTCCACCTGAGGAAAGTTTCCAGCATAAATACAGAGGTGGAAAAGGAAAAGGAAGGTGTTAATGAGTTATTGCATTGAGGCGTTGAGGCATTGAGGCATTGAGTTATTGCATTGAGGCAACTCCTGTGAGTTGCTGTTTGAGCTGTTGGTTCTCCTGAAGAAGCTCTGGTCCTCACATTAACACTGCTTCCTGGCTCTGCAGGACAAGATATGTGCCACTTGGTCTCCAGGATGAACTCTTCATGCTGGCTTCCTGGCATGTACTCAACTGTGCTTATCGTCGGAAGAGCTTGGGCCTCCATGTCGCTGAAGATGGCTCTGGTGCTTTCAGGACAGGCCTGGTCTTTGTTGTGAGTGTGACTTCTCAGCTCCAGCATAGAACCCTCAATCTATCAGCACAGCTCCTTCACCCTGCTGGCACAGACTTTCTGGCTTCCATCAATGACCTCTGGGCCTTCCCAGCATGGATCCATAAAAGAGACTTGCATGAGTCCTCCTTGTGGGCGGCATTGTCATGAGCTCTGGGTCTTCATCTGGACTCATGTGTGACATTGCTGTGGGATTTAGGCCCTTGACTTATCTTTGGTGTTGTGGATAGATTTCCTGCATTTTCTTGTGTTAACTCTGGGTGACCATCATAAAACAGTATTATAAACTCCATGTCCTGATTCTAATTGTTCTCTGTACAACCCCTGACTACAGCATTCACTAATAATGAACCTAACAAGAAAGAAATCAAGAAAACATCTATTCACAATAACTTTAAAAAAAAAAACCCTAGGAGCCAACCTACTCAAGAAGGTAAAAGACTTTTGAGTAATTCCCTTTCTTACCCATTTCCATGTGAGTATTGCCTCTTGTGTTAGGAATCTTAACTAGTTACCGATTTCTCTCAGAGGGAATTGATCATTTATTGGTGTATCTGTGAGATTAGGAAAAGTAAGACACCTTCTCCTACTTGATATCTCTCTCTGGAAAGGTTGACTCTGATTACAAGGAAGACTCTGAACCCAAAACCCACTTATTTATCACAAAGTGCTAATATGCAATTAAACCTGAATATCTAGGTTTTAGTGCAGAAAAAACAACTTATACATGAACATTTTTTGTCTTAAAAACAACACAAGAACCATAGGTTTTGCACCACTTATTTAAGGGTTTATGTCCTTGGCCTCATCAAGCTCCTCCCATAGGTTCTCATCACCATTTTCAAGACTCCAATTTTTCGTAATCAATAGCAGACACTCTCTAAGACTAGGAGTTCAATTTGTTTTATAATTCAGTCACTCAGAGTACGGAATCCTACATTTAACTTGCAGCACTGTCAGCTCTGAGAAGAGTTCAGGGTTCTTTCAGAATAAAAATAGCAACTTTAAGAATAATTAAGAACAAGCAGCCAATCTCCTTATAACTGGTGAAAATATTTGAAAGCTTTAAATACATGGTGACTCAGAATTTTAACTTCTGTTAAGTATTTGACTTCATGTATCTAGTGGTGGTATTTTGTAACCTATTGCAATTATCATGCCAGGGATTGTCAATGCTCTCTCTACTTCTGGAAGTTGTGTCATTAAGACCAATCAAATTAGAGGACTAATTAAAAACCATAAATCAAAACAAGCTTATCCTTAAAATTCTGTTCATTCTTGTTTTTAAAATCTATATTAGGCAGTTTGGGTGGGAGTGGTGTTATATAAAGGAATAAAATATTTCAAGAACTTGGCTCTTGTGATTTGGGGGCTGGTAATTACAAAAGAGTTAGGACTGGAAGAGTGTAAATTCTGGCCAAACTTAGTGTTTCAGTCTTTTTTTTTAAAATCCATTTTTCAGTGTTTCAGTCTTAAAGAGTTGGAGGCAAAATTCTTCCTCATTAGAATGGCTCATAATTTTTCTGAAGACCTTCAGTTGAGTCAGATGATGCCTACCCATACTGTGGAGGGTACTCTGACAGTGTCTACAAACCTGCATTTTACTCACAGCTAAATAAATACTTTGCCAGAAACAGGTAGGTTGTAGTTTAATAACAACTGGGTAGTAAAGCCTAGCCAAGAGCCGGGCATGGTGGCTAACATGTGCGATCCCAGAACTTAGGAACCTAAAGCAGGAGGATCACCGGGAGTTCAAGACCAGCCTGGGCTACATAGCAAGATCCTATTTAAAAAATAAGAACCAAAAGCCTAGCTAAGTTTGCACAAATTAAACAATACAGTTCATCATGAACTTCAAAAACTCTCTTCAGAAAAGAACACATCAACCTCAAAAACTGTACCCAGTAACAATTAGACAATTCTGAGGATGAACAGCATCTGCTCGTTCACAAGGGCTCCATGCTATGCTAATTACAATGGACAGAAATCTTGATAAAGGTCAGGGGCAGAGTTGTTAGAAGCCCAGTCCACAGTGGTACCTCAGGGGACGTTCTAGAGACAGTTCAATTATGTCAAAGTGTTTATGGATACCGTGGTTTTTCCAAATCCAGTTTCACAGTTGCCTTGATTCCTGTCTCAAGTAGCTTGACATGCTCATTGTAGGTGATAGAAACAGATCCTAGGTATGTCATACCACTGGGTGCCCCAGTGAGATAAAAATATCATGGCAGCTGAATTCTCTCCCTTGTATTCTATGGAAGGCAAAATAAATTTAATTCTAGTTTAAAGGCTATTTTGTTCTGTGCATTTTATTATCTAAGGCTGACACTGACTTGGAGTTCCATGATAGTTAATTAAAAACTAAAATGAACTTATTTAATTTTGGATGTCTATTAATATATTAACCTTTTGCAAATCATTTTGTTTTTAATTGGTATCTCTTTTCACACATTTTGCTATAGGCAGTTCTGTAACAACACTTAGTGTCTTATTCTGCCAAGTATCTTGTTCATTGCTCCTACCCTGAAACATGGAACACAGACACAGTTATATCAAGGTGGTCTTTCTTCTAGTTTCTAGTATCATGTTTTTTGTTTCCATGCAGATCTCATCAAAATGGCCTTTCTCCTCCACATTCCTACCAACATTCTATTTAGGATCATTTAAATAATCTATAAGGAGACTGAAGATTTATCTGCATTTCCTCTCTTCTTCTGACCCATCACTAAAATAATTTTTTACTGTCCAACCTCTGCTAGCACTTATTTCTAAAGCCACTTTATAAGTATTTGCTATAGCAGCATCCCACTTCTTGGTACCACTTTCTGTGTTAGTCTGCTTCTCCAACAAAATACTTCAAAGTGGGTAATTTTAAAAACACTAAAAATTTATTTTTTTGTAGTCCTTGAGGCTAAGAAGCCAAAGATCCAAGTGCTACGATGGCACTTTCTTTATATCCTTGTATGACAGGAATGAATGCTGTGTCCTTACAGCAGAGCAAAAGCAGTGAGAGAATCCTCTTAGTAGCTGTTTACAAAGTTGCTAACCCCATCATAAGGTAGAACACTCATGACTTACTTCCCAAAAGGTCTCAGCTCAAAATATAATTACATTAGGTCTCAAGATCTAACATACAATTGTTCGCAGCAAGTAGAATTATGCAACAATATCATCTAGAAAATAACACATTTTAGCAGATAATACTTGACATAAATTTATGAGTTTGTTTATGCATTATGAATATTGTGTAACTATAACACTTTGAAAAATTAAGTAATTGTAGGTGGGCTTGGGGCACAGAGCTGTAATCTCAACATTCTAGCAGGCTGAGGAAGGAGCAGGGCAACTTTGACCCTAGACTGGTAACTTAACAATTTAGCAAGATCCTGTTTCAAAATAAAAAGCACAAACAGCTGGAAATGTATCACTGGGTAAAAGCCCTGGATTCAATCCCCAGTAATGAAAAAACTGTAATAGCTCTATAAAAGTATCATCTAAGTGTTCCTAGAAAAGTGTTATCTAACTGGAACTCCAGTGCTTACTTTGGCAGCACATACAATAAACTGGAACTCCAGGAAACATTATTGTTTGATTAGACATAGGCAGGACTCATTGGCCAAGTAAATTTTTTAAGTGCACATAATAGTCTGAATATTAAAGACTATGTGACATAAAGGATGGTGTTAATTAAATGACAATATTCACTAGTTCTGTGAAACTCCAATTTTCAGTGAATTATAATCTAAAATATCTAATCTAAAGATAGACTCCACAAAAATGGGAAGAAGATCTGGGGATGGGGCTGAATGGAGGGAGAGGAGGGCAAGAGGATATAAAAGGATAAAGATACCACATGTATATGTACAATTCTCTATGATGTATCAATATCCCCATTATATATTTCAAACATATACTAACAAATATCGCATAAGGCTGATCCATATTTAAGACATTTTAAATAATTAAGTGTTTTGACTTTTATTTTAGAACACAGTCATCAGTATCGTACATACTTTTTAGTTCTTCAACTTGGCCGTCTTCAGTTGTTTGAATTTGACCCACATATCCTACAGCTGATTCTAGATCTTCATGTGTATCTGGAGCTATGAAGATGAAAAACAATCTTTTAGTAAATTAAATACAGTAATACAAATGCAACTTATTATAGATAATCTTGAGAAGATCATAAAATCTTGAAAGTTAGAAAGGTATTAATACATCATTAAGTCAAGTAAGAAGAGAAAAATCTCAGCGAGATGCGAGCAGTTAATTTACATCTATTCCTGGTAAGTTTTTTTGAAAAATCAGAGCTACAGATTTACTCCTAGACATTTATGCCTTCATGAATGAATGCTTTTCTATACGAAGCTAACAGATAATAACTTGATTTCTAGTGAGGCAGCAAATACCATCACTGTTCAGATTATGAACAAGTATGTAAATTTTTGTCATTTCTTTTGTTTGTTTGTTTTGGGGAGTAGGGTCTCACTATGTAGTTCAGGCTGGCCTTAAATCATTATGTAGCCCAGGCTGGCCTCAAACTTACAGTGATTTTCCTGTCTCAGCCTTTTAACTGCTGGGATTACAGGCATGGACCATTATGCCCAGCTTATCATTTCCTTTAATTACTTATTGCTAGTAAATTTATATTATGAAAAATTATAGATAAACAGAAATTATGACTTTCTATTACTCATATAACTCAATATATTTTTCAATGTAGATTTATCATTATAAAATATTAAAAGAGAAATTTAAATAAAAGTAAGAGAATAACAGAGGCTAGACCAGAAATAAAAGGAGAAAAAAGAAATAATTGAGAGAACAAGAAGTGTTTGAACACTGTTCATATTGTTTTTATGGTTTGAACAAAAAGCTGGTGGGAAGGAGGCTTGGAAGCATTTGTGGGAGTGGGAGAAGGGAAACGGAGTGGGGGGAACGTAACTTTAAGTGCACAGACTATTATGTGCACTTAAAGTGAAGGTAGAAGGAAGCTGTACCAACGTCAGACCTGCTATACAGTGACAGCATGTGTTTGGATCCTTCATGCTCAATTCTGATGGGGATTACCCTGAATTTCCATGAACTGTACTCTTTGGATTAAAGTATTCATTAATTCTTATTATCCTTTGCACACATTCTGAGACCTCTTATATACATGCTAGATGAAAGAGAGAAAGGAAAAAAGGAAGTTAAAGGTATAAGAAAGAGAAGAAAAGAAGAGAGGGCAAAAAAGCAAAATGCACTTACAAAAACACAAAGTTAAAGCATCCTCACGGTCCTACGTACACTGCCACCTGAGTTGAGCCAAAAAGCTCTTACTGACATGTTCACAAGTTGTGAAGCTTTTACTGAAATGGGGGTCTGGGTGTATTTCAGGGTCTGGCTTCCACACTTTCTTACTCCTCGAAGTGTCAGTATGACCACAGATGTTTCTCCTCATCTTCATTCCATGGCCAGATCCTGCTGGTCTCCAAGCTGGATCCCCCATAAACCATTCAATTGCCTGACTGTGGATGAGGAGCCTTGGTGATCCAGACAGACCACTGAGTCTGTCTCCACACTGCAAGATGTGCTCTGGGGATGGCTCACTGGAAGCCTTTGCCTTGTCCTACATCAGATTCTGTGAGTTAAGTCACAGAGAGGGGTTGCAGTGTGGTAGGCTCAGTACTCAGTTTTCTGCTGATCTGCTCGTGAGCTTTCTCAGTCTCTGTTCTTTTTCCTACATGACAAACCCTGTAGCTGCTTCTGTGTTCTCCCCACAGAGCTTCTCCCAAGAGTACCACAGGTCACCCTATGGCTAAAGTGACATTTGCTTGTTCTTTGCCTTCAGTTATCTTCTGTCCAGCCCACAAACGCAGTGCCTTGGGGCCCACTGCAGTGAGTAGGATAGTGTGGGCTACTGTGCAGGCACCTGATGGTGAGCTGTGGCCAATGTCCAGCTGTCCTCCAGCACACTACTCATGATGTCTGGGGTGAGAATGACCAAGTGCTTACTTCTGGATCAGTCTATTTATCTCCCAGGCACTTCCTGCTTACGCTGGGCACGCATTATGGGCCTGAGACTTTTTCTATATTCCAAACTGGGCTCCTAATCCAATTGCGTCCTTGTTTTCAACTTTCCAAACCTTGCCAGTGCTTTTCCCTGCTGACCTTCAGTTTCTCTGGTGCCCTGATGTGCAAACATCACTGTGTTCTTTTCCTTGGAGGGGAGGGTAGAAAGCTTGGAAGCCTATTACTTCCACCTGTCTCTGCTGAAGTACAGGTTCTCTCTGTCGGGATGCTAGGTCTTCTCCTGAGACGGCAGGTACACAGATCTGCAGTTTGAGGGAGGCCGCAGAGCACAGGCTGTCCACTTTCCTTTCTGCCCCTCCCCTCTGATTCTGACTTTGCGTTTTGCAGCTTTCCCTTTCAGGTGGCTTCCATTAACTGGCTGTCTTTGTGATTCCCATTTCCATGTGCCCATTTCCTGGAGCGTGTCTTCAAAGCTTCTCTCCCACAGTGTTGCCACTGATGGGAATGATAGAAGTCTTCCTGTCTCTTTTAAATTAAAGTTTATAACAACCAGGCCTCTCAAGAGGACCACAGTACTGACCGGGTCGCTGGGTCCATGTGACCTCCTCACAAACCCCTGAGAGCTGCCTGCCTTACTCGGTTCGCCAGGACTCCTGCCTACTACCTTCTCCTACCTCTGGGGGCGTTGCAAGACCCACATACTCAGCTGTTGACCCCTCTGAGCTGCGAGTGTGCTTGGTCCTTCACTTTTCAATTGTTTTAATATTGAAACATGTTACTGTTTTCCAGGTAGATTTTATGACTGTTTTATAAAATTTTATCAACAACAAAAACAACAAGCAATGACTTGGTATTTTATGACTTGGTATTTTGACTGGAAATATGGTACTTATACATTGCTTTTAGGAGTCTTGCACTCAGGAATGAGAAATCCTCCTTAGGTAGTCAACATTTCTTTTTGTTAGTAAACTCTACTTTTCTTATCACCTGAAACCAGCATGTTTCTTAGTGGGTATTAACAGTTACTTTGCTTTATTTTGCTCTTTCAGTTTTGAGATATTTAAGAGCATTACTATTTTCTGTTAGCAAATGTGTTAAACACTTTACTGAATATTTACATTGCTATTAAAAAGTCATTTATTTGGTTGTTTTAGGTTTTTTTTGTCTGTTTTTTCTTTTTTATCGGTACCAGGGATCGAACTCACAACTGCCTGCTTGCAAGGCAGGTGCTTATGCCACTGAGCTAAATCCCCAGTCCCAATTGTTTTAGGTTTTAATGACAGAAGTGTAATAATTTCTAAGTAACATCATTTTATATCATCAATTCCAATATTTATAATAGGTTATTTTTCTTTGTATTTTATTGGTTAGACATTTTAAAGTAATGCTTCCATTAAAAGCAACAGGTAGAAATTTTATTGTCTTTCCACCTTTAATTGTATATGTTATTTCATAGGAAATATGGCATTGAAACATTAGATTTTCAAAATAAACAAGAAAACCCACGACATCTCATGAATCTGTCAACGTTTGTTACAATCTAAAATTGAGCACACTGTCTTTTCAGATGGGAACAATTACATGCTCTAAAAGTAAGTAATTACACAAATTCTGGTAGCAACAGAGAGATGATAACAGGAGAGCAAAGTAAATGAAAAGGATTTTCACAAAGGGTTACAGAAAACTGTTTCACTATTTTAACATGAAATACAACCAACTCTGTAATTTTTCTCTAGCTTTCCTAGGGTAATTACGGCAGAGCATAGAGCCAGATTATACGGGTTTGAAATCCACCTCTAATCACATGAATGTTAACAAGTTGCTCCATGTCGCATTGTATAGGAGTAACAAGAGTATTTCTTTCATTGTGTTTCTTTTTGCAATATTTATTACTTGTTTTATAGTAAGAATTCAATAAACAACACAATATGCCTCTCTCTTCCTCTTGTTTCTTCTTTTCCCTCTCCTTCTCCTTCTGTTCTGGGGATTCATTGAACCCAGAGTGTTTGCATTATCTTATATGACTAGTCTTTTTATTTTGAGACACAATCTTGAAAAGTTTTATAGGCTTGGTTTGAACTTGTTTTTTTTGCCTCTGCCCACTCAGAGAGCTGGGATTCAAGCATGTGCCACCACGTCCCCGTTTTTAAAATTATTCTTTTATTAAAAAGGTCCAGATGTAAGAATCAAATGCAGTTATTCAGATATCCATTTATGAGCACATTCTAAATTTGAATAGGAACATTTATATATGATAATTTGATGATATCACACATACCAACTGTTTCCTCTTGGGAAAGTTTTTGTTTCTTAATTTGAGGCTGAGATTTTGATATTGAGTCAACTGGCAGAAGACTTTCATTGGTCATTGGAAGCACATTCTGACCTACAAAATATGTTTGAAAAATAATGAAGGGAGTTCTGCATCTACTCTAAAAACATGTTGAAACACATAGTATATTGCTTTCCTCATTTTATTAAGATGACAATTTTTTTTTTAATCGGTACCAGGGATTGAACTCACGACTGCCTGCTTGCAAGGCCAGGGCTCATGCTGCTGAGCTAAACCCCCAGTCCCCTAAGATGACAATTTTTGATACTAAATTGCATGGTTAAAAATCCATCACATGAGCACTTAGAAATATCAACACTAGCATACCTGAGTGTCACTGAACTAAAGAAGTTGACAACCCTCTCCCTCATGCAACTTAAACAATCCGTAAAAATTTATACAACAAACCTGAATGGTTAAGGACAAGGTCATAAGATCAAAGTAGATTAAAAAGTGCTAATTCTTAGAGAAAACCCTAGATATTGAAGTCCTTTAGAATCTTAAGTGTATACACATTTAATGCCATTTACATATTTTGAAATATATAGGACAGTTTATAAATCACTGCACACTCCCACTAATAACATTGAGACTTGAAATTTAAAAAATTTTTTATATTTTGCCCATTTTTAATATCGAGTTGTTTACCTTTTCCAAGTGTATTTTATTATTCTTTATACATTAATGCTTTATTTGGCAGTGTATTATAGTCACAATAAGGGGAATCCCTGAAAGACAGCAGCAAGGAGAAATTCC